TTTCGCACGCTCAGAGTATTGAGGTAGGGTTTCCCATCCCACTAAGGGGTTTCCCATAAAACTTAGGTTTAGGGCTCAGGGTTTAAGTCTTTGAGTTTGCGGATTGGGGTTTCGGGCTTCGGGGTTAAGGTGTTTTCCTGCGCAGTGGCTGGTAATCTATGCTAGGATGCCGCCACTTCTCACCAGGGTTTGTGGGTGGGGGCAAAGGACGCATCAAGCGACCTTCCTTGCATGTGTCATAGAACTCGGTGAAACTGAAAGTTCTCTTTAACCCCCCCGCTGTGATGATACTACAGGCAACCACCCAAACCATTTCCGGTTTGTTTCCACACCGAGCAAACAACTCAGGGGCTGGCAGGACATAAGGACAGCAGCAGGGGCAAAAGCCCCAAACGTCGGCGTAGGGCTTTGGGTTTTGTGCTCCCATCAAGCAGATAATCAACGTATTCCAGTGGATTTCAGGCCCAGCTGTGGCTGGACAGCGCAGATCGGGCTGTATTCGACCACTCTCCATAGGTTCCACCCATTGTCTCGGCCAGTGTGGGTGTAAAGGCTGCCGGGCATCTTCACTGTTTGGGCGCCCAGTTATGGGTGGGAACGGCGGGTGGAAATTGAAGGGTTTAGGGTTGAAGGGTTTAGGGTTAAAAGGTTTGGGGTTTAAGGGCCCAAGGCTCAAGGCTTGAGGGTTCAGGGTTTAAGGGTTTCAGGGTTTAGGGTTTGAGGGTTTGGGGTTTTAAGGTTTAGGGTTTAAGGGTTTAGGGGTTCAGGGTTTCGGATTTACGGGGTTAAAGGTTTCGGGTGTAAGGGTTTAGGGTTTAGGGTTCAGGGTTTGAAGTCTTTTCAGGTGAAGTGGAAGACAAAACGAAGAAGTTGTGTGGGCCCTGAGACAGGTGTGTAGGGGTTTAGGGTTTAAGGTAGAGGTAAAAGCTAGGGTTTCAAGGCTTTAGGGCTTCAGGTGGAGTGGCATAGATGGTGCGGTGCCTGTTGTAGTCCGGGACCGCTGGTCGCCGACATTGAACCTTGCAGTGCTTGTGAAAAGACCGCTGGCATGGTGGGGTAGCGGATGCATTCCAAGTACTTGACGCGATGTTGTGCCGTGACACTCTCAGATACGTAGTGGATGCTCCGGCGCAGACTGTGCATGCAGACAAACAATGGCACAGCTCGAATCAAGCGACGCTCCATAAGTTCCACTTGTCGTTGACAAGCGAAGTATCCAGAGAGACAAAGATTACGAGCTTGTAAACAATAACATGGGCAGCCCATTGACCATGTGCAGGCGAGCCGCTTTCAGGATACCACTCATGCCACAAAGAGCTCCAGGTTTGTGGAGAGTGCATCCGGAGGTCATTTCCTTGCCTTCTCATGTCACGTCGGTGCAGACCGAGTCCTTCCTGGCTTGCACAGCTTTGTGTCGAAACTCTTGCGTTGCTGTTTGTTGGCTCGATGTGTCATGACTCAGCCCGGTAGCTCCCGGTAGGGGGATTTGGCAGCAAGGCCTTCCGCGCACCAGCAGAAACCAAGCGGTGTGCGAGTGACTTTCGGGTGTAGTCGTGCTGCCTGCATATTTGGTCATACAGTCACGTGATTGCAGTGCCAGAACATGGAGCAAGGCTGTCTGCGGCAGTTTGTTTTGGGCTTGAGACGGGCCAATTGTATGCAGGAGGGGGTGAGTCACTGTGCAAGGGCGCGGGGATACTGCCTCCTCACCTGTTGCGAAAAACTGACAAAACCTTGCAGCGGAACCGGCTATCACTGGCAACGTAAAGATCTCGTCTGATGTCCCTTTACACGGATTCTGACTCGGTGCAAATTTGTCATCGTAACGTGAGGGCGACTCTACAACCACCCCACCCGCTGAACACATCAGGCCAGATGAATACATCACGCCAGCGCTGAAAGTGAGAGTTTGTGTGCAGCTTGGCTCAAGCGTCGGCTCTGGGTGCCATGCGTGCGCCGTAACATGCGAAGCTCTACTGTGCTTGTGCCAATGCAGCAGTATTGATGGAGGAGTGGGTGAGTGGCCAGGTTATTGTGCGTGATGTCCTGAGGTTGAATTGTCGCCCTCTGGAAGCGGCCAGCCTGGAAAGCTTGCTGAAGCAGTAGTAGGTGGAGCTGTGCAGACATGCCCAGTCTCTTGCTGAACCGGTGGACTCCGGCTCAGTTTGTGATTAAGGTGTGTTGGCTGTAAGCAGCCGAGGATGAAGCAGCCTTGCGAGAGCAGGCCATCCGTGTTGAACTCGAGGATCGTATGCGGTCCTAAACTAGTTACGGAAACTGGGCGGGCACCACTCTGCTGATGCTGCTACAATCTCATCAGACATTCACTCCCGATGGTGGAAATCGGAATGCCTGTGTTTTCAGCAGACTGCTCGAACGGAAGCTGTTTCCGACATTGAATATGTACAGTTGGACTGTGTGCATTGCTGGGGCAGAGCAAAGTCTCCAGCTGAGCCAAATTTTGTTGATTTACAATCCCACTGAAGACATCTTCGCCAACGACCTGCCGATGGCCTAGGCAGCAGAGCTTCGCCACGAGCAGAATTTACGAAGATCCCGCTAGTGTCAGGATGTTGCGTGTTGCTGCTGGACATGCGGATGCACTCGTGTGCTTTCAGCATCCACGTCCCGCAGGCAAACTCGAGGCGCGCAGGGCTCAACATGCTCTGTGGTAAGCTTGGAGTGTGTTGATGTAAGTCGGCTTGTCAACCTATCTACGGCATCTGCTTCTTTGGACGCCCCTGAGGTTGTTGAAGAATTCGCGGAAGTTCAGTTGCTTGACTGCCAAACTGTTAGGCCCTGCTAGGCATCATGCGCATCCATTTGCGGACGCATCATGGAGGCGCTGGGCTTGTCGAAGAAATCATTCCACATAAGCTGGTACGTTGTGAAGTTGTGACAAGTGTTATGCTGGTGGTTGTCGTCGTTCTCGCTGGCACTGTCATACATAATACCTGCAGTTTCGATGCTTGGCTCCTCTTGCTTCAGCATCACCAAAGCTTGAAACAGGAACACACCCCAAGCCAGCTCTGCTTCCGTGGAGCAGGTTTGGGATGAAGACCCTCCTGAGCTTGAGCTTGGAAAATTCGCACGCTGTTTCCGCCATTCAGCACGGAGTTGACCAAGAGGGGACAGCCTGTCCTCCGACGACGTCATGAAGGCCTGGGCACGAAGATTCGCCCACGAGTTCCTTGCGACAGACTCGAGCGGTGCGGGATCGACGCTCCAGACAGCCCATGAGGCTTGTTGACCGCACTTGGCTATGCTCCACGATCACACCGCTAGAAAAATCATTTTTTCCATTCGTAGCGATTGAGTCTGTCCAAGACGCTCGCCTAGCAGATGAATTCAAAGGTGAAACAATCGGGAGGAGTGATGAGCTACGCAGGCCAGAGTCACTGCACAGAAAGCCAAGGGCCTCACACCAAGGTCTGATCTGTGATAGCGGAGCCCAGATTCCAGGGCACAGCACGCCAACCTGCTGGCTGCGAGCCGTGGCAGCAACGTCTGCCAGACATCTGCACACGTTCTCGGCCCAAGTCTGAACGCCAGTAGCGACTCGGAGGGGCACCCTGGTAGGCTCCTCAAGGCTGTTGGAAACAGGACGTCGGGGCGACAATGCCCACTGGCAGACCTGTCCTGAGCACGGGGGGCCACCCAAACAGGGGCCTCGTAAGGGTTCCCTGCAATGGGCTCTTTATCCTTCGGGATCTCATCCGCAGAAATGTGCGGGTCCTGCGAGAAAAAACAAAAGCACAGACGGCCGGGTACAAGCATATGTGCACAAAACAAAAAAACACGCAAGCGCACAGACACCGCCAGTGAGTCGTGTTGCTGCTGCTTTTGCTGCTGTTGACGATCGAGCTTGTTTAGATGAATATGAAGATTTTGAAGATGATGACGTTGAACTGTTGGTGGTGGTGATCATGATGAAGATGATGATCCTGGCGATGATGCCGATGCTGATGCTGGTGTTGAGGCTGACGCTGATGCTGATGCTGACGCCGCTGCTGCCGATGATGATGATGCTGAGGATCATGATGATGATGATGATGACCTGACGGCTGCGGCGAAGGTATTGGCTGAGGAAAACGTTCACACTTTTGACCAGCACGAAGATGTGGGGTTTAGTCAGAACGAGGAGCACCGGCGGAGCAACAGTGATGGACAGCGTAGCTTAAGCCCAAAGATCGGCTGCGTGGACGCCTGATGGTGTTTACCAGCATGGCAGCACGTGATAGTCATCATGACGGTGCTGAAGGTGACGACGATGATGCTTATATTCGTGCGTTGGATTCACTGCTGATGGTGGCCGGAGTGGTGATGCGGATGCTGGGCAGATGTCCGTTCTCTGTCAACAGACCCAACTGAGACGTTTGGGGAAGCCCGCTCAGCATTCTCACAACCTTAATTGTAAAATGCATGGGTCGGTGGGTAACCCCGCAAACCCTGAGCCTTGTCAGTATGGTGTGTGTGGGCAAGCCATGGCAAGCCCGAAAGTCCAGTGTTTTGAGTTGTAGCGGCCTTGAAGTATCCAAGCGTTGCGGCAGCTTTCTCGATTCGTTATGTCGACTTTGAGATGGCCGGTACTGGAACTGAGCTACGGAAGCACATTCTTCGCATTTCCATTTAAGGTTTTTTATGCAGATTGCGTTTTTGCTTGAGTTTTTGTGCGTGCAATAAGCACGGTGCTGGAACGAGCTATGGCAGATGTTTCATAATTACTTGTTTGGAAGATTTGGCTTGTGGGAAAGGGGTTGTGGCCAATCTCCATGATTGGGTTTTTGCCTTCAAGAAGGTCGAACGGAAGGCAGCAGCGGCCTTGTTGTTTTTACTTTTCGAAGACTGGGTTTGTCGGTCTGCAAGAATCTCGGTGCTGGGAAGAAAACCTCCACAGGTGTCACAGAACGAAACACAATATACATACGCTCGCATACACCATCGCAAGTGCTTGCCGTTTTGTCCAACTTTTCAACACCCAATCCGAAACCCCCGCGCAGGAAGGGCCGCCAGCGCAATCGGCGGAAGGAGCATGTCGTGTCTTTGCACTTTAACAACACGGCCATGGACTGCCAAAACATCGGACCTCAAACCATCCGAGCTTCTGCTTGAGTGCTCATTGCTTTGGTTGCTGGAGAGGTGTGAGGAAGGTGTTTCTTTCGCATGTTCAAGCATATGCACCAACCTTGAAGCGAGTTGCAGCTTGTTTAACCTGTTCTGCAGTTCATCTCGTAACGTAAGAACTGCGTCACCGTAGCGTGATTAGGAATGTCTATGTGTTGTCAGTCTCGTTTGGTGTACTGCTTCAACATGATTTGAAAGCTTACTGCAGCAGACACTGCAGCACACGACACGAAGCCTTTGCAGAAAGATTCGTTTCCGCAGATCAAGGAGAGTATGTTTGAGAAGAAAGCATCGGCTTGGTGGCAGAAGGCTGTCTGAATCGCGTCAGGAGCCTTGGAAAGCGAAGGAGGCCGCAGGAAGCCGCCGCAACTCCGCAGAGGCCGCAGGAAGTTGGCTCCGAGTCAAGGTTTCAGGTTGGCACCAGTCTCGGAAAGTCTTCGATGATGGATGATGTTAGACATTACTACGAAGTCTTTTTTGCAAGGAAGACCATGCCGGAGGGCGCTAAGTGAGGCTCTCCCCCATGCCAGGCGTCGTCAGCTCAGGAGGATGCCGCGGACCAGGCCATCTTGCGCAGCTTCCTGTGCTCTATCCGAGAGGGAGGGGGCGGAGTCGCTTGAACTTCGTTTGTTTGGATGCTTTTGGGAGAGTTCTTTCTTTCAAGCCTGGCTGCGATGGTTCGCTCCTCTCTTAATGTAACCCTGAAGGCGCTCTGAAGAACCCCCCAAGAATGGCTCAGGCTGCAAGTGAAGGCGGCTTGGACGCGGCAAGCGGCTGCCCAATCGACACTTCAAGGGTCCTGAGTCGTGGTTGCGAGCGTAGCGCATATGATGGGATGAGCATGGCTGAGCGAACTGGGCAAAGCCGGTACTCTAAAGTTGATGGACGTTGGACCTGGACCCGAAATCAGAGGTCGACGTCCATCTGACTTAGATGCGCAGCCGGATGCAGAGGCTCACCCGCGGACTCAGGTTAACAGTTTGAACAGTGCACTAGAAGCGAGATGAAGTGCGGGGCAGAGAAGAAAGGGTTAGGAGTCGCAGGGAATGTTCTCATCTACTTACCTCACTTTCGAGCCCGTAGTTGTTACTAGTTGGTATTAGCTGACCCTTTTTGTGAGTGCAGTGCGTGATTGCTGCAACTTGTAGTCAACACGGATGCGACCCACCCTGCGCCACAAACTGCTGACGGCATTTCGGTGCACCGGGCGAAGACAAGCTTCAGTTTCTGTCGTCCAATCCCAGATTTGTGGCTTTGAGTTGCAGAGCTTGCCTCGAGAATCACGCCGTATTTGTCTCCACGCCCTGGTTGAGGACGCGTGGTCTGATGCTGAGGAGCCTGTAGAAGAAGAGCCCGTGCAGGAAGAGCCTGTGGAGGAGCAGCCAGTAGAGGAGGAGCCTGTAGAGCAGCAGTGTGGAGAGAAGGAGCCTGCAGAGGGAGAGACGATAGAGTCTGCGGAGCCTTCAAGGGAGACAGCGACCGCTTAGGAACTCAGAACGGCTTGTTGCCAAGGCCATGATGAGGTTTCGGTTGAGCTATTGCCGCAAAACTTGTTGCAAGCTGTCGGAGCCTTGATTTTTCAGAGCCTGCCTCCACGCCGGGAAGTAGCTTGCACTCCCCTATCTAGCATCCACTTAAGCGCGTGAAGGCTTCCTTCCACCAGGAACCTAAGAAGCCGACAGAAAGGGGTGCATGACAAGGCCGCTCGCAGCAAGCCTGCCTGAGGCAGTGACACATTCCCTCTGCTTGCCTTTGCAGAAAAAAGATCCTGCTTCCAGCCACGCACGCACTTTGTGTCCCGAAGCCGACAGTCTCCGATGTCGTCATGCGGGTGGAGGATCAGAATAAGAAACTGGTGCCAATCAGACCAGAAAGTGTCTGCTGTGGTGACTCTGGTGCAGCTTGGAGCTAAGGGTTGAAGGGTTGAAGAGAACCTAAAGTCCCTAAAGCCTATCTCAGATGCCTCCATAAGCCCAGCAGAGGCACATACCAGTCACTGCCAGGGACCCTTCGAGCTTGCAGCTCCGCGGAGCGAGCCTCGAAAAGGCCCCCCAGAGCGGAAGCGGTGGTCTGTTTCGCTCGGTGCACTGCGTTTGAGAAAGGCAGCAGGTTGTGTTTGTGTTGTTGTCTTTAGCTGATGCGCGACTTCACCTTCAACAACATGCTTCGGAGTCGCTTAACTTCCGGCTAATGACGTGTGGGGCATCGAAGGTCTTCGGGAGGTCACGGTTTGCTCACCATAACAGCTCAGAGTTGCTGCCTCGTCGGGCTGACTTTGTCCCGATCTCTGACTCAAAGACGACACAGAATTCAACCGGACCTCTTGGGCTATCGAGTAGGGCACTACTCAAGACTGGCTGGCCGTGCTCATGAAAAATCTGCATACTGCATACTTCCATCTTCGCCCTCGTGGTTCGCAAGCATCATTTTCACGTACACCTGGGCATCCACCAGTCCATACTCCCAGCCAGCGGAGCAATCACATTCGTTCCGTCTGCATGCGAGCGAGAATCTCAGATCCTGAATGTCGCAGAGTCCTTAAAAGGATGCTCTGGGAAGAGAGAGGCAGAGACGTCAGCCCGACACGCATGACGAGGTGTCTACCACTTTCAGCCTTCCACCGGTTCCTTGCAAGTGGGTGGCGAGGTGCAAGCGTTCTCGTATTTCATAGCTTTGGTCTTCAAGATGACCGCAAAGTGTACCTCTTCGGAAGGGCCTTTAGGAGCCGGCCACCTCTTCCAGGTTTTCCTATCATCTCAGAGTGGGGGTTCAGGCCACAAGCTGGCAGGCCGAAAGGGTTTGCATTCGACGTACAAGGGAACCTGCCTGCTCCGCTGTGGGAGAAGGCTCACAACTGGCGCTAAGTTGGAGGCTGAAGAATCTGTCGGGTGAGCATTGCCTTGCGGCAGGAGATCGCGCGGTTCTGCGCCGAGGCAGTCTCCAGCCTGCCGGGGTGCCAATGTCGGCATTCTTGTTCTGAGTGTAGCTGATAGCGGCATAAAACCGACCGGTTTTGATCACGATCAACTTCGCACTGTAACAGTCAGCATCACCACGATCATAATGAGCACAATCATCACCGTCATCATCATCATCGTCGTTATCATCATGAACATCATCGTCATCATTATAATCGTCATCAGCGACATCAGCATCATGAGCATGGTGAGCATCATGAGCATCACCAGCATTCACCAGCATCATCAGCATCATCAGCATCATCAGCATGATCAGCATCATCAGCATCAGGATCACCATCATTATGATGATCATCATCATGGTCACCATCATCATCATCATCTTCACCATCATTACCAGCTGAGCCTCCTCCTCCTCATCCGCGTGTCCTTTCCTCATGCTCGACCGAATTCTCATCCTCACTCCCCCCAGGCTGCCATCGGGCAGTCCCATCAGCAAAACGTGAAATGCGCGACATGCAACTCTGCTTTTTGTGGGAGCCAGTCGCAGAAGATGGGCTTCGTCCTGCCACCTGGTGAGCTTCTGAGGTCCTTTCCCACCTTCATCGCTGAGAGGCCGACCACCTCCCGTTTCGCATCGCGCGGGGCCACGGACGCGATTTTTTGAGAGTCTGCAAAAGGTGGGTGGATCTGGGCTTGGCTGGGATGTAGTGGCTCACTGGAGGCTCGAGGGCCTAGGGTTGAGATCTGAAGATTGCAACACTAGCCATGACAGGCACTTTGGGAGCTTAACAGGAAGTCCACAACAGCAACAGCACGAAGTTGCGTCCATGTAGGTGGAAGGTCTTCAGAACTGTGCATGGGGACGAGCTCACACGCTCATAGCGGGCGACATGTGATTGAGTCAACATCGCTTACATTGCCTTTGCTGGGCATCTACAAGACCATGATGTTGCATAGCCGACATCAAACACCGACGCCAAGTGGACATGTCCTGTCACTGAAGGTGTGTCAGCGTTGTAAGTGGCGAAATCATCGAGGAAATCCAGATTCCCGGCTGAAGATTTGCCATGATAGAGGTTCAGGTCACTCAGAGTATAGCTGCCACTGGGATACAGAAGTGCATTGTCTTGTGAGCAGATCTTGGTGGAGTTGTGAGTTAAGAAGATTTGAGCATCGGGACTATTGATTCCGACCTGGGCCCTGCGACCCCCAGAACTCCAGGTTCAAGACCTGTCGCGGCTGAAGCCAAACCTGCAGGATTCGAGATTGAACCAAAGCCAACAGAATGTCGAGGCTGCAGTTGATTTTGTGCTCTTTTTTGAGTCAGTTCCTTCTGCCTCGCGTGCTGATGCTGGGGCCAGAGCGGGCATTCTTGGGGCCTTGGCTATGCACTCGACTCCAGGAAGCCCTCCAACGCCGGTGCTGTCTTCGCGCTATCCTGAGCTGGATCGGCCTCCTGGCCGTCTGCCGAAGTGCTCCAAACATCACTGAAGCAAGCTTTCACACAATTCAAGGGGCTCTCGGTAGCGCCGCTGGGCTCTCTCCTTGGGAGTTTTCACCGTCTGAAGTCTTCCGTCTTTGTGTTTTCGTCAAGCACGGCGGCGAAGTCAGCGGGATGCAAGCACCCAAGCGCCCGCTTTCCTAACCGACCCAGGTGCTTCCCTCCCAGCTGAATGGTGCGGAGCCACTTGGCAAAAAACTAAACTTATGAGTGCACTGCGTGAGTTAGCGGTTAGCGACATATCTGTCAGGCCTTGGAATATATGTCAACCGATGACAGTGGGATGATGGCACAAACTTGCATTAATTGGTGACCTAGGACCCAAGTGCTCCAGCACAAACCGGAGACGTCTTAGATTGCGTTGTGCCAAAATGAAGTCGAATCCCTTTCCTTGGTCAAGATATTCTTGCCGTCCAAACCGGGCCCCTGATTGCTTTGAGTCTCTAAAGTCACAGAATGCGGATCTCGGAGCCGACTGAGGTACCCCATGCACAACTACATAGCACCAGGCTGAGACGCCTGCTTTGCAGGCACCGCGTGAGAGGCTTGTGGCGGGTACTGAGTGCTGAGAGTGCTGAGGTTGATCAGATCTCCAAGTACAAGCACCTCCTTTGCAGTTTGGCGACGGTACAGAGCCTGACAGCCCCAAGTCACAAAGTCCCAAGTAAGGTTCGACAAAACAGGCGGCCCTAGAGGCCAGCTGGCCGTCCACCCGGCAGTCCGGGCCCTGCGTCTTCCGAAATCTACAAGTTACAAGTCCCTCTCCCTCTTTTTGCATGCGCTTGAAATATGCCAAGGTTGGGCAGTTCATTCTGGACAACGCAGCCTGCGACAAGAGGCACGGCCAGGACATACTGCAGGGCTAGGTGAGCAAAGGATAGAATCATGGGCAGGGCAAGGCAATGTTGATGGTCTAGGTTGGGTAGTGTGCGAGCCGACTTCAGTTGTGGACATGTCGACAAATCGTGTCAGCCGCCCAGCAGCAACGTTCTCCAAAGGCCAATGGGCCTGGATGCGACAGACGTGGCTGTCGCCTAAGCATTCGGGGTGGCGCAGCTTCCGGAGTCGTGTCGCTTCTCCCCAGGATCGGCACTGTGACCAGCAACGCAAGAAAACTACATTGCATGGTCACTTATCCAACTCCTCCATACATCTTCTTAAGTTCCGTTGCAGCGACGCCCTCGTCAATGCTCGTCTGTGGTGTTACCAGTCTTAGTTCTAGCTTTGGCTCGGCTTCTTGGGGCCAAGGGAGGGTGGTTTGAGTGCCGTGCCTTTAAGGCTTTGCGGCAGTGGCTTCTTCTGGTGCATCTCACCGATCTCATCTCCCGCTGGCTGTATTGAGAAAAACCAGTGCTTCCTTCGACCTGTCCGGCATTTGCTCTTCGGGTAACGCGGTAGTGCTGCAGAAATAGCAACCATCAATCAAGATGAGCATGGACACCGACCACGATGCAGATGTCCATACGGTTCCGACGTGTGCTGACTGCATTCCACGGGCCTCCGACTCCACCTCCACGGGCAAAGATCAGCTTTGGAACAATGTTCGCGGTTCAGGACGACGGCAACACTTCCAGAACCGACACGCCCAATGCGAAACCCGGTGCCAGAGGCCTTGGCTGCCGCCAAAGCCTCTCCATCCTGGCCCTCAGGGCCCTGCCCTCAGGCTGACCTTCGCAGGCTGTTAAGTCTTTATAGCATTTTGTGGGGAGGTACAACCTGCACGTCAAGAACGGCTACATGGCCGTGCCTCACTGCGCGGCTTCCAACCAGGTGCGATCCAGTGACCTAGCAGTTCAACCTAGCGCCTCGCAGCCTGATTCGGAACAGAACGATTACGGAAAGCTGGAGGACGGCTTCTGTCAGCACCGGTATCCACAGAAAACCGCGTGAGTTCCTTATGGCTTACGGCGTCGGAGCCAGGCCGTCGCCGTAAGGTGCGAAGAAACAGCGAGGAAGAAGGCAGACGAGGATCTTGAAAGTTTTCAATCTACCGTGAACCGTGCGCCAGCAAGGTCATGTCGAAGTTCCAATTCGATACAGCAGTCGTCGTCGTGGTCGTCGTAGC